CTTTTGAACAAAGAATTGTGCTTGCTGTTTCCCATGTCAAAAAACCAATTTTGTTCTCACAATTATGATATACTCCTGATGTTCCATTTTATATGGCACTCAGTGCTTCTTTAGTTTGTTAAAAAATGACACTTTCCATATTTGGGAACTCTTTTAACTTAAAACTTCTAATTCTACCCTTAATGGCATGCCTAATGTCATGGGATGTTTGAAATGTACTTTTTCTTTATCAAAAAGTTTTTTAAGTGTACGGTTGGTATGTGTCAAACGTTTTTCTTTCTTAAAGCCTTGGTGCACCCATGAGATCCCTGGGATAGAAAAATGAGATAGAACACCATATTGTTATGTAGGTTCTCTACTTTTTTCTTTTGGTGTACCTGCATACAGGAGACTTTCCTAATTTAATGAAATCACTCTACTTCATTAATTTTTTTTTGGAGTGAGTGCAATTTGAAGCTATCTATTCTTTTTGCTATCACTGTTAGTGGAGGGATTTATATACACCGCCTCTTATCCCTTATCTCTTTTTGGTGCACCCATGAAATCTCTAGAACTCTAGAAGCATTGAAGATTGGGTGTTGTAAGATTGACTTGACCAAGACCTATAGTTGCTTTGTATTTTAGGTAAACTTCATGCTTAAATTTTAATACGATCATGCTTCTTTGTTCTAAATGAGATAAGGGCATTTTGTGCTCTTTTTTAAAGTATGTAATCTGATTACTTTACTTGATTAAAAAAGTATATAATCTGATTACTTGGTAGAAAAGAGGGTGTCATAAGACAGATCTATGAAGTTCTGTTCTCGTTTTGGTTGAAAATTGGTGGAGTCCCTCTCTGTTTCTCCCTTTCTGTATCTGCCAAATTGCATGCTTCTCTATATCTTTCTTTTGGCCTGAAGGAATTCGATTTTATCTTTCAGTTTAATAGAGCATGATTTTTTGGGTAGCTTTGAAAGAATTTCTTTAACTTGTATAGGCTGAATTTTTTAAGGAGAGATCGTGTCTTGCCATCTAGTTTGAAAAGAGATTTTCTACTACGAAATCAATGAACTATTCCTCAATCTGTGAACTAGTTGGGACAATTTTGACAGCGTCTATTTTAGTATTACTACTTCTCTTGGATTATTTAATTTTCTTTTGGATGAGCTATAGCCCCTTGTTGTTTTGATCTCTATAACAATTGGTGAATTATAAAAAACCTTTTCCTCCTTTCCTTTTTATTTTATTGTAACCTTGGATATCTGAGAACAGTTGACTTGTTACCATCTCTTTCCTGTGCATCTGGTTCAGTTTACTGAGAACTAAAAGAATTGTAGGCACAACTCAAACCACTGATGGATCAACTTGCCAGAGTAAAAGATTTACCTGCTCCCGAGTTTGGAAGCCTTCAAGCATGGGAAGTGCGAGCCAACGCTGTGGCCCGTGGTGCAAATGGAGATAATGCAAATGACTCAAAGTCAGGACAAGGGCTTGGATTTGGTGGAACACCTATGCCGTTTGTAGGGGAGACAAAGGTTCTTTTGCCCAACTGGAAAAGGAAAAAAGAAATACTGTTGTTACAGTCTTTTACTTGGAAGCTCATCATTATGTGTTTCTAGTTGCTTCTGATGCTTCTTGGAAATGCAATGCAGTGATTTTGGTGTATATTCATGCTCATGCATCTTAGTTACGACTTGCATGTACATGAATTTTTCCAACACACACTCACATATCTGAACTGGATTTTAATGCACTAGTCCATACAGTGAGGTTGCACAACATAGCTTTTGCTCTGTGTTAGGTAGTCTCCTGATCAAATCTTGAAAACAACCATTTTAACCCCCCTCCTTTTATTGCAACATTGGAAGTTTTCTCCCTTTTGTACCTGTGAACATCTTGGTTATTTGTTTATACTATATACAAACTTCTGTTTCCTTTCTCACTGATAACTTGAGTCTATATTTATCCTTTAGCAACTGTTTTTTCTCAATAATACAATATGTAGCAATTGCTCTGAATGCTTTCAATAAAATATCTCCGTCTTTCCTTATGAATTTGATGGAGATAATAGTGCCCAAGTTATGTAAGATGTTGATTGAGTGAAATACACCCTGAAACTATTGTGTCATGAATTTAAACCACTTTTTGCTGTTGATTGCAGGTTGAAGTTGCTTTCTCTGGTCTTGAAGAAAAAGGAGATATCAAATCCGAGGTTTCAGTTACACCAATGAAAGTTTTGCCTCCATGGATGATAAGGGAGGGAATGAATCTTACAAAAGAGCAGCGAGGAGAGGTCAAGCAAGAATCAAATATGGAGGGTACTTCTACTGCAGCAGGATTATCTGATGACAAGAAGTCCATAGGATTTGAAGATGTTAAAAATATACAGGTTAAGGTCATTGCCTTTTGTATGGTTCATTACCTCTTCCGACCCTGTCCTTTCTTGCTTGAGTTCTCCATATGCTGTATATTGATGCTTTAATGCCTTTTTTTTTTTCTTGGTTTTGGTAGGATGAATATATTAAGGCATATTATGAGGCTCTATTCAAGCGGCAAAAAGAGCAAGAAGAAGCTACCAAAATGTTGCCGGAAACATCAACTACAGATGGAGTGTATAACACCTCTACTGAGCGCCAAGTTGGCATGAAATCCAAACGTGAAGAGGAGGACAAAGGAGAGGATGTTGAATGGGAGGAGGCCCCACCTGCAGGTAATTTTATATTGTTCATATACTTCAATCTCTTAAGTGGTTGAGGATAGGAGGACTGTTCAAAGAAGTTGATAATGGAGGTGCTAGTGATTGAAGTTATTAGCTTGCTACATCAGGAGGTTCAGCTCCTTACCTTGTTCGTTCATGGGAGTTGCTGGTGTTGTACTGTCAACTGTGTACTGCTTTGCTATAAGCCATTCATGGTGCAACCGTAAAAAAGATACTATTATGCAAATTCTTTCTTGAGTCCTTATAAAATGGAGAGAGACCATAAATGGAACAAATGGATCAAAATGATATTCTTTGTGCTGATCAGAACCTCTGGGGTTTAGCTGCTTTAAGTGTTGGCCATTTTTTTTTTTGGTTTCCCGCAAATTCCAAAGTTTCCTCCTCTATGTCTACTTTAACAGCGAGGACAACACTTCTTCTCCTAATTGTTAAATATTATTCTGAAAAATTACCGCTAACACAAACTGTGGTATTTAAAAGGGAGCAGGGTAGAGGGGTTGGCCAATATTCTGAACCTTTGGACACACTGGGGTTGGGACAAGCTAAACACAAGGGAGATCTTTTGGGTATCAAAAGATTTTTAAAAATAAAAGGAACATCAAGAACATTGAAGAAAATGCAACTTGTCAAAGTATGCTAACAACTCTTCACATCTTTCACGAATTAATCTGAAAGAGCTTAGGCACATACGCACAGCACCTATAGTTCTGAATAACATACTCAATTTATACACTTATATATCATAGAGATGCCAAGAAAGTGATTATATACACAATTTTCTGTCCTGTTTGAATAAAACAACTAGTCTACGAAAGCTGAGAACTGAAATATATGGCCATGTGGGAATCCATGCAAGAGAGGAGAGATATGGATAATTCTGTTTGAGAATACTTAAGGTTCCAGAGTTACTCAATAACAGAAATCGATTGCAAATGCCATGCAATCTCTGTGTAGTTTATAGAAGTTGGGCCTGTAAACTGAGCAACATGTGTCATGCACTTTGCTCTTCCTAGGAAGTAGTAGTCTTAGATTATTAAGAGTGGCAGTAGATACACTTTGGATAAGGAGAAGGTGTAATGATTTTCTCACGAAGTTCAGTTCAGGTGTGTAGGTGAAACTTAGCGACCAGTTAGAGAGGATCTTCTAACTTCTTATAGTTAGTATGATGTGTTACTTTGTTCTGCTTGCTTGATTAGAGTTTTATAGGTGATGATCACTGCTAAATTTTGTCTTCTCCCAATTCTTCAGGCTCTGATTCTTCTTTCCTTTTCTCCCGAGTCCTGCTTCTTCATTTTCACTTTCAATTTATTGGTCGTGTTTGATTTGCTTAGTTTTGAAGTTCAACTATCATGTTCACATTGGGTATGTTTTCAGGTAATACTACAGCTGGAAATCTCAAGGTAGACTTGAATGTTCAAGCAGATGCTTCGGAAGACGACAACGATGAAGAAGATGACATAGACTGGGAAGAAGGTTGATGGTCAAAGTAATTTTTAAGCTGCAAAATAAAAATACAGACTGCCTGAAGTCTGCATGCATGATTGTAGCTTCGTGAAGAGAGTACCATCGTCATCCTGACATGGGGGTCGTTTGGTTAAAAGAAACTAAGCTATGTAGGAATTGTGTAATACAAGGACTAATAACGCATTATTTTTATTGAGTGTTTTTTTTTTTTGCACTAGAAATGGGATATACAAGGTAAAATTCAAAATTTGGGTTTACTTTTTTAAATTTAATAGAATTTAAAGAGTACTGATGATGGATTTGAGGAAAAGATGGAGTGATTTTGTCTTTTGATGTTTAACCTATGCATTGTTATTCCATATTATATCAGGTATAGTTTATAATATATGATGGATTTAGGCGTTAGCAATGTAATGCTCACTTTAGGACTCAGGTACACATAAATCCTCCCATAACACTCTCTATATCTACCTTGTTTCCACTTTCAAGTTTCAACAATATTTTTAGTGGGAGCATTGATTTAATTTTAAAGTCCAGAGAAATACAGTAAGAAAGCATTAAACACAAATCATCCCATAAGTCTCTGTGAACCTTTGTTATTGGTAATAAGTAATATCATAAAATAGTAACAAAACGAGACATTAAAGAAGCGACAAGAGGGGTTGCTTGGATGATAAACACTCTCCACCTCCAACTTGACGTTTTTGGGTTTGACTCTCCAATGGAGCAACAAGAGTGGGAGAGGTGAAAAAGAAGAAGACGACATAAAAGAACTCTAAAAAGAATAAAGAATTCTATTAACTCTGATGTCTATCAAAGCATAAATCTGAAACTCTTCTCACACAGATGATAAAAGGAAGGGATCCCAAACTGCATTGTCACCAACACCCCAAAGCCCATTTTCAAACTGCAGGAACTGTTGTTCAGTTGGAACTGAAGCTATTTGTGTTAATCCATTCATATCGGGCATCATTATTGACCCATTTAAAACATCTACTTCCCCAAATGTAGACAAATCAACCATTGGTTCACCACTAACTGAAACTGGCCATGTACAAGTAGCAGTACCACCAAAAATGTTATTATTTATAGTAGTACTAAATGAAACCTCGTCTTGGACTGGACTCATTTGTGGTTCTCCCCATGGTAATCGTCCTTGCTCGTTATCCCACATTATCGCTGAGTTTGTCCCACTATACCACTGGTTATCTTGACATTGTGACGATGAGATCATGGGCTGATAATCGTTCGTCATGAGGCTTATGTAATCAAGATTGTGATTTCCCCTGAACAAGTCATCAGAATATTTGTCAATTTTAGGTAATTTCTCAGTTTGTGAGGATGTTTTCTTGATTTCAATACAAGGTAGTGATGGTTTAACTTTGGATGCTAATTGAGAAGTTGAATTAGAGGCATAAGCTTGAATGAAAGATCTTGAATTCTTGCTGTTAAAGAGTTTAGCTTTAAGTGCACCAACAAGACTATTTTCAGGTTCCTCTGTTCTGCAGGCTTCTTCAAAGTTAAAAGGCACAGAATTTTCAAGAATACTACTACCTTGGTGGGAATCAGACGCGGGTAGTTCAAAATTAGTACGAGCATTAGCCCCTCTTAATGTGCGAGCAGCTTGATCATATGCCCTTGCAGCATCCTCAGCAGTGTCAAAAGTACCAAGCCATAGCCTCACCTTTTGTAAAGAATCTTTGATCTCTGCAACCCATCTTCCTGATGGCCTTTGGCGAACACCAACAAATCTTGGATGGCCCCTTGATGATGGTTTTCTTCGTGTTCTAATACCGTCACTTGGCTGAGGTACTGGTGGCTTCATTCTTGAATATGTTTGGTTGAAATTGGAATCAAAAGTTCATGGTAAGGTAGTCTGTCTCTAAGCTTGGTGTCTTGAACTGCTGAAGGTATAAAATGGAGAAGGTATCTTTGAATTGTCACAAATGGACTAGAGGAAAATGATATTCCTCTGTATATAAAATTATAAACACAGAATGAAACTTTCTAGTGTTGCAGGCCATGTTGGTTCTATCGACTGAAAATCATAAAATATGAACGAATTATGGCAAGACATCGACGATTTTATATAGTTGTACTATGTGCTAATGCAGAAGCCTCCAAATGTAGATGTTGTTTTCAGAATGATGTGATCAATATAATTTGGATATTGTAAACATTCTGTTGCCCCTTATATACATTCAATCAATGCTACAAATGGCAAGTCACTAGGAAACACAATTTTTTAAAAAGATTTCTGGTGAACAAAGACCAGATCAACTCTATAACTTGACTAGTTCTACAGGTTAGATAAATGTGAATTAATATTTATGTTGTAATGACAAGATATATCAGTAGAGTACGTTAATTAAGTTTAAGGTTCATTTGATAATGTATTGAATTTAATGGAACAATAAGCAACATGATATGAAAATATGTGTTTGATTATAATAGTCTAAAGAACAATTATTTGGTGTAGTATTTGATTAAATCGTTGTCATATGAATGACCGTTTCATAGGAGGTTCAAAAGGGGTTGAGAAGAGAATGATAAATTAAGGCTCTAAATTAAGTACCAAGGAATGGATCAGAAGACTATGTTGGGCTAAAATGGTTCAAGAATACTCTTAATATAACGTGATATTATCCACTTAGGATCAAGTGTGTGTGATTTTTCCTAAAAGATCTCACGCCATTAAGTATATTGAACACCTCCAATGTGACGAACAATCTTCAAAGCTACGGGGAAATGTCGTAAACTGGCTGGCCCATAGACAGGCAAATACACTAACCCGAGCCTCATGCCACACTCCACCATCTTCATACTTATCCTGCCAAATCAGTGGTTCGATATTAGTTTTCTGAGTGAAAGTTGAGAGATTTAAATAAAAGTATTGTCAATTAAATTTGTGTTTTTTTCAAAAATATTATACTAATTATCATTAAAATAAAAAAAAACTAAATATTAAAATATTAATTAAAAATCTACATGCATCACAAAAAACCACGTGATTAGTTATTTTTAATTATAAAATTATCACATTTTAAATTATCTACCCAACGCAACGCGCAGACAATTATACTAGTTTTTAATAATAAGAGTGATATAATTTACAGAATATTCATTCAAAGTAGTCATCACATAAGACTTCTTTTTCTTTTCAACTATCAATATGAGACTTTATTTTTGCGCGCACACAACTCACTCTTGCTAGCCAATTTTTGAGGCAAGAAAAAACACAACTCCACTACTAGCAGCTGGATGATTGTCCAAATTTCACCTACTACTTTCAAATGACTAATCGTTGTATAAACCACATAAATCCAAGTTTATGGAGAATCGATCCAAAAAACATAGTAATAGGGTCGATGAAATTAAGGTGAAACCGACAAGAGTTATTACATTATAGTAGTTATATTAAGGCATTCAAAAAAATTCAAAGTCGATTGCCACTTCCGAAAGAAAAGGCCTCAAGCCGCTGAGGTCTATTGTCTTCACCTGCTCCTAACACAATAGGAAAGAAGGTTTGTCCCCTATCCTCTCATCACTTTAATTTTCGTGCTATTAATGAACAACTACAATAATATGTTCAGTGTAGTCCTTCACAAATGAAATTTGTTTCCCAATTTTTATAAGTAGAAAGATTATTTCTTATAGATACTCAGATCAAAAGAGAAATTTTCGAAGCAGAATGACCCAAAAAATAAAACACATGACAACAAAATAGTCAGGCACAAGACGAATAAAACAACAAATTGTAATACAAGAATACTTTATTAATGTACGAAAGTAAAATTGTATATTGAAATAACGTTGGCCTACGTTAAGTAACACTTTCTATCAAGTCATATATGGTAACCTAAAATTAGAGTGATAACTTGTTATAGTGAGATAAATCATAAAAGTTTTGATTATTTATAATGAGATAAATCATAAAAGTTTTGATTATTTATATTGTTTGAATTCCTATAATAAAAGGTATTTTCTAGAATACAAAGTGCTTTAACATAACTGGACTACAGCACGCGCATCAAAGTCCAAAATTAAATTTAACTTCCTTTCATTGTACTACTTGAAAGTTGAAATACCTAACCTTTGACTATAGTAATTTTGGGGAGATAAATGGGGATCTTGCACTAAGAAATTGCATTTAATTAATAATAACACTATTTATATTACAAAATAATAATAATAAAAAAAAAGTGCTCATTGTCCATGGACCTCACTTCTAAAATGAAAAATTATCAGAGAATTAATATAATGTCCTCTCTTTAATTAGTGGTAATTAAAGTTGATATTGTTAATTTCTAGCATATCTTGACCAAAATTTTTCCCTCCATTTTGTAGTGATTTTTGTTGACTCTGTAAAAAGAAATTGCACATGAAAATTAAAAAGAATAAAATTAACTTAAAAATAAATACACTAATCTTGAGTTTCACTAGTAATTGATCTGATCAATTTGTATAGTAAGGAAGAATAAATCAATGATTTCTGCTTTGAGCCTTTGATAATAAAGTTTTAGTAGTTTCTACTAGATTTTAATTTTCTTTCTTCCGTGATTACAGAAGTAAATAAATATCAATTACAATAAAGAGCAAAAATAAAAAGAAAGTCCAAAAATATTTCAATAAGGAATTAGTTCAATGGCTCTTTCTTGTCTTGTTTGCTACATGTATATTCAATGGCTCAAATGAAGAGTCATGATGTGCAATGGGCTTCTTGATGGTTTTCGCTATTCTTCATATAGTAATTTCGAACCATGCTACTAAAGGTTACACTTCGTACATTCGTAGTATCATTTTTCTAAAGTAACAATGTTATGATGTCCTTCTAAAGACTTTAAGTTATATATATTGTCAGTATTAAAAAATAATTAAATTTATGATTATCGGATCATCTTATAAAACAACTAGCTAGATATAGTTGATTACTTGATTATGATAAGGAGTTAGTAACTTGGAAAATAGGACCACCAAAGAATTGTAGTGTGGAGGATGGAGTTGTTCTTGCCTTAATCAGAGGTTTTGGATTCAACGGATTCAAATATTGAGCGCTTCCTCCCATATAAAACTCTACACGCATCCAAATATAGTCAAACTCGTTGATCCGATTCACTAACTTTAGCTCAAACTTATATATGACTTGAAACATTAATCAAATATTTAAGAATAAATTTCAATTTCAAACACAATAAGTCTAATAGGTTGTTAGCTTTTAAGCTCGAATTTTATAAAGTGCGACTCTTGAATTTATCTACGTTTCCTTGATGGAAAAATAAAACAAACTAATTAAAGTACTTCCTATTGAATTTAATGATCACTCTACCGTGTCAAAAAAAATTTATGTTTCGTGTCAATGTAATTAACTAATTATATAGGTTTCTTATATTTCAAAGATAAATAATAGGGGCCATGCATTTTCCATTAATTAAAATGAAAATAATATAAGGTTTGACTAAGGAAACTTTAATGGCCAGTCTAACGTGAACGCAAAGCAAGTTTTTATTGGAGGAAAATTAAATGTCGACTAACTTTGCCTCCTTCTCCGTATTATTTGGACCTCCATTTCTCTCTTTTTCTCCGTCCATTTTTACTTATGCACTATATTATTTTCTCCGTTTATTTTTACTTATGCACTATATTATTTTAGAATATGTAATAATAATTGTTCAATTTATAAAATCAATAAAGAATTTATCAAAATGACTTATATTTAATAAGCAAGCGTGGTTTGGTAAAGTTATCCTTATCATTTATTATTTCTTAATTCATGTGTCAAGTGAATAGTGGAGACCTGTGTAAGCAATTAGTTACTAATATATATAAACAAAATAGAAAAGTTGATTTTGATGATCAAAGCTTAATTAGTTTTGGTGATCAAGTAAAGTCTCATGGAAGCAAAAACATTGCTCCCATGTCAACCTGCAGCTTATGTAACAACAACTCTATTTCTAATTGCTTCTTTCACTCTTCAACTTCAACTTCAACTTCAAGATCTAAAATTCCCATATTAATACTACTATTTCTTCTATATACTGTCATATGCTTTTCTGATCTCCATGCTCCCTTTTCTCTCCCGTTATTATTATGGCAGTAATATTCAAAATTGTTACTAAGAAGTGTCTATTCGCTCTCATTCTTTCGATTGCTATCGTCTTCTGTCTTATTCATGGATGGTGTAATTACTCCGATAATGTGATTTTGAGCCGCAGAAGAGAATTGATTGCAACTAAATTTGATTTTACGCCGTTTATGCCACGTCATCGTCACCGGAAACACCTGTCTCCGTCGCCTGAAACTGAGATCGATCCGGTTTACGGGGTCGAAAAACGCCTAGTTCCTACGGGCCCAAATCCGCTTCATCATTGAGGTTTAATTTTATAGTCCGTGCATTAATATATTCATCATCAGTACTACTATATATTGTTACAATTTGTAATCTGTTGTTAATTATCAAGCACGACGACGCATAATTTTTGTATTATATGAGAAAAGTTCCAGATCATATCAATATCTTTTTTTCATCTTCAAATTATTTGATTTATTTCATAGTTTTCGATATATTGATCAGACTTTCATGTGGATTGCTCGTCTAGCTAGCTAGCTGTTTTGCTCTGAAATTGTTAGCACTAATCATTTTTTTTATTAATATGATTAATAAAAACTTTGGATCATGGAAAATCATGGAAAGGGTGATAAATATAATTATATTAATTGTCATTGGGATGTTAAAATTAGTCTGTTTGTGACGGCACGGCAAGTTAGGTGGGAGGGGGGGTTGAGAAATGATGGCACTACAATTGGTATATACAATGTGTTGTCATT